GACCATCACCCTCTTCAAGTTTCTGATCATGCAAACACAGATTTTACAGTTATAGATCACACTCATTCATTTAGAAAACAGAAAACACCAAATGAAGAGACTATGTCATCCGCAATGCATATAGTTTAATCAATATCAAAATCTTTCATAATAAATTTGAAGATGACTTCACTGTGCATGTTTAAAGCTTTCCACTAAAAATGCAGTAATCGTCACTCAAATTGCACTGAAATATGTGCCCAGGGCTACATTTTTGAGAATCGACAAATATGTACTGTACCATGGAGTGTTGTCTTGCATTTTTAGTTTCCACAAATCCACTAAAGGAGGCCATGTACATTTTTAACAATCTCAAATACGTTACAGGGGCAAGATTTCTCATATGTGTCGAAATTCACTGGATGGCACTGCATACACTTCTGTAAATATTAACATCCTTCTTGCATGCATCCGTGAGAAAAGCCGGTTGGCTTGTCGTTGTGCATTTTATATCAGCTAGATATCAACTGACCCACACACCCCATTCCTTAAACCCAACCAATATTGTTTTCAAAAACAACTAGAAGAGAAAAGGCAATGGGTTTTGTTTTTCCTTGTTTCTGAAACCGTCCTTCGCTGAACTCAAACGTTGGTCCACCTTCCTAGTCTGGTGGATTTTGTGGTGAGCTACTGCACAAACTCAAGCCGGAAAAGTCATCCATATAGTGGCATGCAGTCAACAGTCCCACCTCGTAGCTTTTGTTTTAATCAAAATGCGGACATATGTACCCACAAGCACATATTTCTTGCTTCTCAAAAATATACTCCAGGGCACATTTTTCCAATGAGCCTGTGTTGCAATTTGCATTTAAATTATATTTATTCTACCAACCCTTTCAATGCATACACTTTCCCTGAGTAAAGCATTTTCAACAATCATTCAGAGGAACTTAAAAAAGTAAATGACACAAACTAATAAAAGAGGTAGAATTATTTATTAACTAAATGAAACCAGACATTTGAACACTGCTGTATTAAGGTAGAAATGCGTCAAGTCCATACCTATTCATATTAATGCACATTACATAATTTTAGTCGGTGTTACTGATTTCTACATTGAATGTTACTGTTACTGATTTTCTAGGTACATTTCCAGAAAATGTACAAAAGGGCTTTAAAAAATAAATTAACTTAAAAATGTAAAAGGTTACAAAAAACCAAAACACATTTTTTGAGATGTTGACAGTCATATACGTGTCTCATGCTGCTATAAATAACATTAGGACACATATATTTCACATATATTTCTCAAAAAAGTAAAAAATTGGTCGTTTATGCGTTATTTCGAGTAAATTCGTTCTTCCAGTTTGAAACTAATTTTTGAAGCTATGTCACGCGATTAGATTATAGCGTGAATCCCAGCATGTTGACTGGATATCTGTACCGGCGGGTTTGAGTATGAAGAATTAATTCATGAGAAAGACTTTATTGTGTATGAGGTGCAACTTCATTAATATGCATGATAGCTTTGAAGACTGTTTTTACCTGTTACAGTGTTCAGACGGCAGAGAGACGCCACTACAATCGAAGTTAGTTTTAATCGAACCAAGACCACCTCATTCAGGTGATCTCGGACCGACTGATTTGGAGCGGATCCGAGCGCAATTGCTGGATTTACATATGCCAAACAAACCGCGCTAACTGGCCAAACGAGACAGGTTCCGAAACAAAAGTCTAGGTGTGAAAGCACCCTAAGTTTACAGTATGTCACTGCAATATTATGGGCTGAAAGATCCGCTGTAAAAGCAGCTTTCCGAGTATAAACATCTAAACACCTTAATCAAACCTCCTAGCATCTAATATCTGGTTTGTCACAGGCGGCATGAATGAAATGCTCCAGAATGAAAGTGAAAGTGCCAAACTGCAGTTAAAGTCGACAAATGAATTATTTGGCAAATACTTTGATTACTAATGTCCATGTAAACATAGTCACTGTCTTTCTCCTCTGCATCTGTGAATGTTTTGCCTCTGCAAAAATATGTGCATGCTCAAACCGAAAACCCCCGTTTTGATCTTATTTGATTATTTTATTATAATTTAATTTTTAACCTTAACAATATGTTGTCACATTTCTCCGTTTTTTTTTTTTTTTTTTTTTTTGTGGGAGACCTTATAATTATGAATATGGTGACATCAATGAATAAAAACATTTTCAAAAAAGCAGCTATTTGCTAGACAAAACTATTTTATTTTAAACCGATCAACATTCAAGACAAACACACACATCTATAAGTGTCCATAAGCAGAAAATGACTTTGAATAATCAGTAAAGCACATATTTCATATAGAACAGAAATGTGTTAGGAATGAAATGGCTCCAAAATGCACACAAGCTCTCTCTTACCTGACCTTGATGCTCGACATATTGGCATTTTGGGGTGGATGGAAGAGGAGGAGGAGAATAGGTGGAAGAAAAGACAGGCTCCTATAGACCGAAAAAAAGGAGGAAACAAAGCAGACAGAAAACAAAACAGTGAATATGAAAGAGCGAGAAACGATGATTAAAGGGTGAAGTTAGGGAACAGAACGATTAGAAATGAAGAATGAACGAGGAAAAGATGGTTTTGCTCTTAGACTTCATATGGCAACTAACCCACATGAAAAATACTATAGCAATTTATAGTAAATAATAATAATCATCATTTTTATTTCTATAACACTTTTCCTACATACATGCAACTCAAAGCGCTTCACAAACATGAACATATATTGAGAAGCAGCATCAATATCCGGTAAATACAAATACAAAAGTTCTAAATAAAATACTACAGTATAGTATTTTTAAACAATACTATAGTAAAGTACTTGAATTAATATGTTGTGGTAATTACATACTTTCTATAATAACAAAACAACTAAAGCAATATAAAAAAAACCCCAATAATATAGCTTTCTACAACTATATGCTATATTACAGTACAAAAGCCACAGTTTACTGTAGTAAAAGCTGAAGCGTAGTATATATTATTAGTTAACTACAGTAATATATACAATACAATACACTTTAGTATGGATCAAAACACTATACTATAAATGACTATAGTATTTTTTTCCATTTGATTACATGCACACACCAACATTGGTACAAACATTAAAAAATAATAACCTGAAAGATAAATACAAACTATATACTTTATACACTAAATATGATTAGTGTTTTTTAATGATAAAATACTGATTTTGTATTTATACTTCCAAAATGTCATATTTAATTCAATGTTTTATTAACACACCACTATTTACTGTAGTAAATAAATTATAGTAGTATTAAAGTATGGTATTAAAGTAGAGTACAGTATATATATCACAGTTACATTTATTAACAAAGAGATGGAAATATGTAAATAAATACAGAATAATACATTTTACTATAGTAAATTTCAAAAACACTTCATTATTTGTTATAAACTACTAGTACTTGTTTAAATATTTGGGAACAAACATCAACACAAACTAAAATTAAAAAATAATGAAATGTAACCAGGGCTTGACATGAACTTTTTTAATCACTAGCCACTGTGGCTAGTAGATTCCCAATGTTACTAGCCACTTAGCATTTTCACTAGCCACTCTTTTGTTGTTTGGAAAATATATTTTATATGAATAAATGTAACTTTGACATGCTAAAATGACTTAATTTAGATGTTGTGTTTTCACAATGGGTCCACATGACTCCTCATTCATTACACTTCTTGTGTCTGTTGTGTATGAGCTTGCTAACTGTGCATGAGCAAATGGGTTGTGTTGCATTACAATTAGTTTTTATTTCAAATGATTTTTTTAAGGCTCAAAATTAAGGATTTATCAAATTTATCTCTGACCACGCCAAAAAGAAATAATTATTGCTTAGCCCACACATTTTAAATGTGTCAAAACCAGCTAAATATAACTGCATACATGTACTTTTTATTCAGCAAAGATTTTTTTTTTAAATTGACATTTAAAAAGATCTATTGTCATGTATCTAAAATATGCTCAGAAATCTGTCCTGGCTAAAGGTCCCAAATCAGCAGTTCCTACACATAAATGGTGAGTTAATCTCATATTAAAGCAATGTTAGTGTAAAGGATGATAATTAAACTATATTAACAAAAATAACTGTGAGCAAAAGAAAGCAGGTAAAAACATACCGTGTGATAATGAAAGGCTGTTCACGTACACACGGTTAATATTAGGCCTGTTACTAATCTGTTTAAAGAATAATTAAAACAAAAGCAGTGACTGCTGCTGCTTACAAAAGGATATTAATATATTTTTCAATCTTGAGCTCTTGAAAGCAGCAAGACTGTGGGTGCACGATCATCGCTTTTTGTCTTGTCTATTTCAAAGAGAACAGATCGCACCAGTTGTGTTTCCTTTAGGCGCGGTAGCTATGCGCAAGTAAACTGGAACGTGAACAATTTTTAACAGTCGTGCGCATCACATCACCTGTGCTCAAGAGTAATGTTTTCTTTTGCTTGCGCGAACCCAGTTATTTTTGTCAGTCGTGCGGCTTCTGGATTCTAAGATCACATTTGCACGCATATTGGGCCATCCCTATTGTCGAACCCTGTTTTAAAAAACAAAAAAAAATACAGTTTAAAAATTATTTCCAACCAGCCAAAGTGGCTAGTGGGAGCGGCTATCTAACCCAGCAGAGCTGAAATCTACCCGCATTTGGGCAATGTCAAGCCCTGAATGTAACTATAAATATTAACTATACACTCTATACACTTAATATGATTAGTGTGTATTAATAATAAAATACTGATTTAGTATTTCTACTTCCGGAATTTCATATTAGATTTAATGTTTTATTGAATGTTTCTCTTTAAAAAAAAATTTTGTAGTTGTAAAATATACAACAGCAGCAATTGAGTTTTAGACCACAAGAGCGAAGAGAATATTAAGGGAGATATGCATGTGTGTAAACTTGGATGTAAACCTATTCACTGACAACCAAGATGATTTAAAGTTCGCAGGTGAGTCTGTGTTATTAGTTTAAGCAGTTGTTATTACAACTGGGATTATTACACAGCTCTCTGGAACACTTGATTGGTCAGTTAAGACAACCGGGGTATGTTATTCCCAGACAACAACCGGTTTTGTTTTTTAATGTTTGACACCATCTTGTGACTGAAAAATACTGTACGTATGTTAGTGTATGCTTCATTCAGCTATTTTTGTGATTATTTATTAAAGAATTAATAAACAATTATTTTTATTTTTATGTTTTGTGGCAAGTAGCCATGTAATAAGCAGGATAAAGAACATCCAGATGGTTGTTTTGCAGAATAAAGACAACAGCCTGGATGTATTTTATCTCTAACTTAAGGTTACGTGTTCTCTCATTAGTTAAAGAAAAAACTGATCAAGTCCATCTATAACGACAAGATGTTTCCTTCATAACATTAGATTTTGACTTTGAATACGAGTTACAGTTACATGCAGATTCTACTATTCATTAATCTATTATAACATTTTTCCAAACAATTCAGCAGCAGTTTTTAAGAGAAGCAAACTAAAATGCTCTACAATAAGGTAACTTACTGTAATGCTAGACAAAAAAAAACATTGTTTATTCATGTTAGGTTACAGTGGTTTAACTAATTTTAACAGGTACAGCTTCTCATTTTAAAAATAAATACACTGCAAAAAAAATTGCTGGCTTCCACATAAAACATTCATGTTGTCCCAACACAAATTGATTAAATTAACTTAATTGTCCTTACAAATTTAAGTAGATTGAACATAAAACAAATAAACTGTCCCAAAAAAACCCTTGAGAATGGTGTTGATTCAGCTCGTTTTAAATGAGTAGTTTGAACAACCAACAGAAATCATTTTTTGAGTGTAGTAGATCTTGAAATGAAAGATTTTTAAAGGTTATGATAACATTACTGATTGTTAGTTTATCTAACGTGTGCAAAATACCCAAATAAGCAAAAAGTGAGCAGCAAAGCAGGATTAGTGCTTCAAGAAACAGCCAATCAAAATGCAGCTCGCACTAGCAGGTCAGCCAATCAGCTTACAGCTAAAGCCAAACTGGACCATCTCTGATGCTAGTGCTTACCCAGAGCTGCTCAGATGACTTGAACTCACGGGTAAACGTCTCATCCTACACACAGAAGATGCAGCATGAGTGGGTCTAAAATACCAAGACCTAAAAACACTTTTAACCTTTGTACTTGCTGAATCGAGAGTTTCACAATAGCTCAGAAACACAGTAGCTGCTATTTAAAACACTGGAAATTACACAGGGTCTGAAAAGACGAACACCATGCAATTTACTACAGCGCGCTTGTGAAATGAGTCATCAGATTGAATAAAGTGCAGGCTTTAAAACATTAGGCAGTCAATTCACAGCTCTGCCTGCGAGAGTAAAGGAATGTGTTACTATTCGCAAATCAGAAAAAAAACATCTGATTCACAGATTTGATGAAGTGTAGCTCACCTAAAAATGGACCCTTTTCACAAAGTAAGGCGTGTTTAATCGTCACCATAATCTTAAATCCTTAAAAGGTTTTAATATTTTAATTTAAAACAAACATATGTAGATGTATATGCATTTATGTATTTAGTATATCAAGTTAACAATAATAATAAATAAATAAATACTGCTTTTGCCAGGTGTTTGTACTGCAGCACTATGAGGGCAGGACAGTAAATTTAACGTTGTTCTCTCTTCTGGCTGCCGTTATTAGACACTATTATTTTCCTTTTTCTGAAAGTCTTGATGACACCATCGTGGAGTTTTTTCTTTTATTATTTCAGCAAAAAGGATTTTAAAAAAATAATAATAATTGTTGCACTTTCCCATTCACTGCGCTCTAAGTTTACCCAACTACGACGACTTCAGCTACTGAGAAACCCAGAAATGTGAATAGGGCCTATGAAATTTACTACTATTTTCTCTCATATTAAAAGTCCATTTGGATTCAATTGAGCTTTTACATATTCTACATGTGCTTCCATTTGGTCAAAACCATCATTCTCATGTCTCCATTTAAATTTAAGAGTTTAAATGTACCATATTCAACACTTTTATGGCCAAATATTGGTGTAAATGATATAAAAGCATGAATTCATTCCGTTTTGTATCACTACGCTCAGTACTGTATTGCTTTCATGCACTTAAATGGATTCATGCCACCTATGAGCTTTATTAAATATATCCAAAATAAAAATACCGATTAATTTGATTTGTAACTCATTCTGATCATGTCTTAGTAATATAATGCAATTTTAAACATTTTGTAAAATGCAACATGCAGAAATTTAATAATTAGAAAAACTAAGTAAAATCTCTAAAGGTCTAAATAACATCTGACTGGAACCAAAGATGCAGATAAGAACACATAAAAAATACATAAAAACATAACGCATGGAATTATGAACTATACGCTAATATTCCAGATGAAAACTTTAGGAGACGTACTTTAAAAATACTGATTTTTTTCCTGAAATCTAAATACAGTAACCGTTATTGAAATGTTTTATTTTATTATTAATATTAATAGTAAATTATCAGATTTTGAATATATCAAACTAAAAGTGACAAAAAATGGCTCTTTGGTTAAAAAAGGTTATTGACCCCTGCACTATTTATTACTTAACACATACAGTACATACAGTAAATGACTTTTATTATGTAAATTACTATTATTATGTTTACACATGTAATATTTCTCCTGAGGCGATTTAAAGCAAAATGCACAATGGCACTCAATCAAACATTTCTACAATGATAAGGAACATGGTTACTTACTGAGTTATTAACGCACAGCAATACCACATGACGAAAGGACGGACTTTGAAGGAATAAACAATGTGACTGTGAGGAGAGCTCCATTATAGTGCACTGGACAAGTCTGAACAAGTTCCGCCCATGCATGTGTGAGGCAGGCAGTTCTGTACAATTACGTAATTTATCGGCTCAAAGATATCGGCCTAATTTAAACATCAAATCGATAACGATAATCTAAAAAATAGCATTTATCGATGGATTACAATATGGCCGCCGATATATCGTGCATCCCTAATACATCTGTTAGCCCCTGTGTTGACCGTTGCTTGCCCGATCATTCTTAATAAACCTGCTTTTGTATCCTTACTCCCTGTTGTCAGCGTCTACTTAACTTTACAATGAAGATAATACCAGGGTGAACATTTCAGCGAGACATTGATCCAAAACACAGCCAAGGAAACTAAATTTCTCTGAAATGCATTCAAAGAAAATCAAGCTGTAGAATGGCTCAGCCAATCACCTAACTTGAATCCAATAGAAAATACAAATTAAAGATTAGATTTGATAGACGAGACCCACAGAACTAGCAATACTTTTACACCCTGTTGAAGTCCGTAAAAAAAAAATTACACCCGAACAATTCATGTGACTTCATTCTCCATATGAGAGGCGTCTTTAAGCTGCCGTTTTCAGTAGTTCAGTGTTTTCTACTTCTGTAGTTTTACTGTTATTACACATAATTTTTTCAGATTATTTTTATATTTTGTTTAGATGTTTGTTTTGTTTGGGATTTTAACAAAATCTGGTTTAATTTCATGTCTACAGCTCATTTAAAATATATTTCCCAGAAGAAAAAAAAAAGACATGACATGTTGAATGGAAGGATGATCCTCCCCGGGAGGACTTAGGAGCTCGGAGTAGCCTCCCACACTGTATATTATGTCAAAACAAACTTTTATTTTGGATGTGATTAATCGTGATAATTTCCCAGCACTACTACAAAAATTATGCTTTTGCAGATTTGATGTTTCTTACCTTCTTCTGCTCCTCCCATATCGGGCCGCTCTTCTCGCTTGCAGACGCTACTTCCTGTATAACTTCCTGTTTCTTATTGATTCTGTTTTTCCAATCTTCCTCTCCGCTTTTCTTCAACATGGCTAACCTGAGAAACAAAACACATTAGCTACTTCCTTCCATCTTGAAGACATTCACACTGAGAAAAGCCATGCGCTATTACTGTATTTCAAATGTAAAATAAAACTGAGACACTTTATTCCAGGGATCCTGTTTGTTGTAGAAATCACGGATATTATGATGTCGCGGCTCAGTCTCTCTGTCTACACCCATTTGCTTTTGGCCTGCAGGGAATGCTGGGAGTTTGAAAATAGTGCAGTCCGCATTATCAGACTCGCGGAGAGCAGAGATGACCCAGATTCATTTATAAGACAAGACAGAAGGGGAACAGCTCCAGTCATCCAGACATCAGCACACTCTAATGAATCTTTATTACGCAGATAAATGCCTGTTAGTGTGCTTTTAACATGCCGATCATCTGCTGGCTTTTTTTTTTTATGAATTATTTTGGCATTAAGGCATGGTAATATATTAAATGCATTTGAACTAAATAAATTGATTGTACAAATACATTTCAAGAGTTCACACTTAGCTCATGATTTATCACATAGCTTGTTTGGCGTGCTGTCTCGTGAGAGACCCCTGAGCTCATGGGATCCTCAGGCCCAGGGCTCCCCCCCTTTCATGGGGCGAGGGGAAATTAAGCTGCTGAGGCCGAGGTGAACTTCCTGAGAGTAGGACATTAGAAAAAAAAAACATTTAGGCTTATTTTATCTATAATTTAGAGCAGTGGTTTTCAACCCTGTTCCTGGAGATCGACCGTCCTGCAAAGTTCAGCTCCAACTCTGATAAAACACACCTGAACCAATTAATTAGGGCCTGAACAGCACTTGATGATTACAGGCAGGTGTGTTTGATATGGGTTGCAACTGAAATCTGCAGGAAGGTCGATAATCAGGAACAGGGTTGGTCACGCTTGATTTAGAGCATATTTGGACGGTGAGAGGAAACCAGGGAACCTGAGGGAATCCCACGCGGACATGGGGGGAACATGGAAACTCCACAAAGACATACCAGATGGCCCAGCAAGGACCCGACGAAATTGGTAATCTTGCTGTGAGGCAAAAGAGCTAGTCACTGGGTCACCATGCCGCCCATTCTAGATAAAGGTGGAAGAAGGGGAGGAGGGGGGTTTCTTCCAGGCGAAGATAGTCGTAGGAAAAAAATGAGCATATATACTGTATAGTAACTTAGGATCCTTTGATTGGAAAATCATTATGAGCTAATGTGGGCTAGCTGGATCAATCATGAGCACTCCTCTCGAAATTAGTTTAAAATTAAACTTCACTTATTAAATTAATATTTTAGTCACTGAACATCTTTAGAAACAGGTACGTTTGGCTTCAGTATTAAATAAACTATATTGTACTGACCTTATTCTAAAATGCGCTTGTGCGCCTGTTTTCGCAATTGTTTTAGAACTTCCGATTCAGTTGCCTATGGGAGAAATTACTAGGAATAATAAACGGCAGAAAACGGTCAAACTACTTGCTCTACAAACAAATGTTTGCATTACTATACAGTAGGGATGTAACGGTATTGTAAATACCGTCATACCGCAATATAAAATTTTTTCGATATTACCGTAGTCGCATGACTCGGTAAAACTATAGGTCTTCTGAGAAAATTTGCTCAGGCGAATGAAGCGAACGGGAGGTAGCTGAAACTTCATTTCCCATCAGCCCCGGCGTGGCCATAATCCTTTGCGGTCTGTTGTCGCTACAGATCCAGTAATGCGGAAATGGAGTGTGCTGCTAGTAGCGGAGATGAAAAAAAGATGGAAATGATCGAACCTAAAGCGGGTGTTGTCGCCGCGCGCGTGCTGAATAGCGGTGCTGTCGCGCGCGTTCTGATCAGCTGTGTTGTGGCGCGCGTATTGTAAAGCGCCGAGGGGGGGTTGAGCGCGCATACTCAAGAGAGGTGTTGTCGTGCGCCTACTGAAGGGCTGGACTGGACGGAGGTTGTGTCGCGTCGCGGGGGCGTCGTTTTGGAAGGGCATTTTCTATCCAAGACTAAAAAGGGCATGTGCACTGCACAGGTTGAGCCCTATGTGTGCACGTGCCTGCAAGTTGGGGAATACGACTAATAACAGTCATGGGGACTGCAGAAACACAGCACACTGTTCAGATTGATGCAGACATTGACTTGTACCGCAAAGAGATCTCTATCTCACTCATGGTTTGTCTTCTCAAGTGGGGGAAAGACAATGCACAACGTTACCCCACTGCTGTCAACATGGGCCAAGTCATATCTCTCTTGTCCCAGAAACCTCAGTCCCAAATGAGAGGGTTTTTTTTTCTGTTGCAGGGGACATTGTAAATACCCAGAGATACCAGCTTTTACCAGATTATAGTTATATGATAATTTTCCTTTAAACCCATCTCTATCTAAGTGAGTGATTAAATGTTGAATGTGATGAGTTTTCAACAATACTAAATTGAAACTTTATTTTTTTACATGGTTTAATAATTTTTTGTTATTAAAATTGAAGTTCCTGTTTCAAAGCTAACAGATAGATGGCTAATTTGTATGTCATTGACACTTTTGGCACTTTTTTGGGAGTATTTTCAAAAGTTTTTTTTTCCTGTAAATGATTCAATAAATACCGTACCGTGACATTCATACCGAGGTATTACCGTACCGTGAAATTCTGATACCGTTACATCCCTACTATACAGACCAAGTAGAATGATATAATAAGAAAATATCAGTTTGCAACATTAAACCGCGAAACAAGCCGTTTTTACTGTCTAAAAATGAATGGAAGTGAATGACACCGGAAGTCTCGAGCCAAAAGGATTGAAATGGCTGCGCCCGCTCGTCGACAAAGAATAAGGTGAATTAAAAATAATTATTTAAAATATAGATATGAGAGGGATGTACTGATATATGCTGAGCACTGTATCTTCAAACATCACAGTTGACCTGAAACTTCAATCAATGCACTTTCAACACACCTTTCTTTGATAGACATTGATGTCATGGCCTCTGGATCTTCCTGCACCTCTGGTTTTGGCTCTTTGGAGACGGCGGCTCCCGACGGGCCGTATTTCCCCACGATCTCCTCTTGAGGCTGAGGCGGGATGAAGCACTGGGGTTTGGGCTGGGTTTGAGGAGGTATTTTGGGCGGAGGAGAAATGTATGCGTGTGATTGAGGCGGAAGGAAAGGCTGTGGTTTCGGCTGAGTCTGCGGTGGGACTCTGGTTTGCCGTTGAAGATCGTGATACGCTGGATGGACGTCCGGGTGGAGTGTTTGTGATGGTGTCGGTGGGCTGTAAGGTTGCGTTTGAGGCCGGGTGTAGATTTGAGGGTGCTGCGCTGGTTTGGGTTGGGGTTGTGGAGGAGTGTATGACTGGAGGTGAGAGAGCGAGTGTGTGGTTTGTGATGAACTTCTGGAGGAGGCTGCAGTGCTGCTCAAAGCCCTCACGGGGACACTGGGATCTGGGACATCTGGAGAAACACAGAGAGATCCAGCATGAGAACAAATATACATGTAATATACACATACTCAAGTCTTTTTAAAAGTCTGTTTTATAGGGGACCAATTATGCGCCTTTTTACAATATGTAAAATATATTATATCCAGGCCCGTATTGGCTAATCGGGAGGACCGGGAAAATTCCCAGTGGGCCGGTCTGTTTTTTGGCCGCGAGGGCCGGGGTCCCTAGCTCCAGAATCTGTTGCTCTCAGCAGTCACACTTTTTAAAAATAATTTATTTATTTACTTGACCACAGCCTTCTTATTCATTATTTTAAAGCTCTGCTCTTTTTATCTATTTTTAGCCATTCAATGATCAGCTGTTGTGGAACAGAGGTTAGCACGTTAGGTTATGATGCTGCCAACCCGGGTTCAACCCTCTTTTGAGTAACATTTTTTTTTTCCATTTTTATTGTTAAGACATATAATACTGTAAGGGTTGTTGAACATTTGAAGTTCTAAAACAGCTGTTTTCTCAAAAAAAAAAAAAAAAAAAAGACGTGATAGTGTAATTAGAAACTGAATTGGAAATGACCTTATTTTAATATAATCAGTGGTGAACTGAGGTGGGCCGGTCTAAGGCTTGAAACTCTAGGGCTGAAAAAGAGTCCCACTTCGGCCCTGATTATATCTGATGTCCCTAAAGCGTGTATGTGAAGTTCAGCTCAAAATCCCATACACATAATATTTTAAACTCTTTGAAACTAATCAATTTAGGCTTTGATATAAAATGTGTATGTTTTACTGTTTTTTTTTTTTTTTGTTTTTTTTTTGTACAGTTAGTGTGATATTCAAAGAGGCAATTGCAGATTAGGAAGTGAAGTGGAGACTAAATAGTTGAGTTTTTAGTCGTTTCTTGAAAATAGCGAGTGACTCTGCTGTTCTGATGCAGTTAGGGAGTTCATTCCACCAACTGGGCAGATTGAGCGTGAGCGTTCGCGAAAGTGATTTTTTCCCTCTTTGGGATGGAACCACGAGGCGACGTTCATTCACAGAACGCAAGTTTCTGGAGGGCACATAGATCTGCAGAAGTGAGTGCAGATAAGAAGGTGCTAGGCCAGAAGTCACTTTGTAGGCAAACATCAGAGTTTTGAATTTGATGCGAGCAGCAACTGGCAGCCAGTGCAAACGGACTAGCAGCGGAGTGACATGTGCTCGTTTAGGTTCATTGAAGACAACTCGTGCTGCTGCATTCTGGAGCAGTTGAAGAGGCTTGATAGAGTTAGCTGGAAGCCCAGCTAGTAGAGAGTTGCAGTAATCCAGTTTGGAGAGAACAAGAGCTTGAACAAGGAGTTGAGCTGCATGTTCAGATAAGAAGGGTCGGATCTTTCTGATGTTATAGAGTGCAAATCTGCACGATCGAGCAGTTCTAGAAATGTGGTCAGAGAAGTTTAGTTGGTCATCAATCGTTACTCCAAGGCTTTTCACCATTTTGGATGCAGTAATGGTTGCCCCATCCATCTGGATTGAAAAGTTATGGTGTAGAGTCGGGTTGGCAGAAACTACAAGCATTTCCGTTTTTGCGAGGTTCAGCTGAAGATAATGATCTTTCATCCAGTGTGAAATATCCAACAGGCAGGCTGAGATACGAGCTGGAACCGAGGGATCATCAGGATGAAAAGAGAGGTATAGCTGGGTATCATCAGCATAGCAGTGGTATATTTACTATATTTACTATAATTTACAATATTTCTTTCCAGACAGACCAAAAGAAACTAGAAATATTAAAAACGTTTTTGTTGGCACAACTGACAATTAAACATTCTTTAAATCCCTTTATATCCCTACATTTTTTATTTTTTTATGTTTTAGAAGTTTTTTTGTACTACGTGATTGCACTCATCGTTTTTACCGATTCTATTATTATTTACTTATTATTTAATTATTTACTCAAAAAAATGTATATATATATAATTAAGTTGAGAAGCATATCAGAATCAGAGTTTTGAAAAGGGGAAGAGATCATGCAAATTGGACATGGCATCTACAAAACACTGGACTAAAATATTTTGTACTCAAAAAAAAAAGGGTAAAATTATGAACTTACATGACTTGACCTTTTGGATTAATGAAATTAACAATTTAATTTATTTGAAATTAGTTATTAAAACTATTATGTTTAGAAATGTGTTGCAAAAATCTTCTTTCCATTAAACAGAAATTTAGAGGGGAATTAATTAATTAGTTAATTTCATTAATTCTGATGTTAACTGTACAGTATATATCTACTCAAATCTTTCCAAAAAGAGTCTCTTTTAAAGTCTCTTTAAAGGGAACCTATTATGATGATCATTTTTGCAAGATGCAATATAAGTCTCTTGTGTCCCAGGAGTCTGCATGGCATCTATATTTTGTACTCCGCATATATACCCTCACCCTTCACAAATCTTCACAAATTTTTTAATAGGAAGCTATACAATATTATATTTGTGCATATACATTAGATTAGTCAGTACTAAAGCCAAATCTGGAGCTTATCTAACAAAATAACTTACAATTATGGTAAAAACTAGTGTACCCAAACGTATATGTTAGAGCAAAATATTAAATACAAATTTAAAAAAAAGGAAAAATCAAGAGAAGTAAAAAAAAAAATTTAACATTTAGATGAAATTTTGTAGGATGTATTTTATATAATTTTTTTGCAATTTTTGCTCGAATATAATTGCATTATCTTTCAATTTCTATACATGTTTGGTGACTAAAATATTATTTGAATAAATATATCTGTTTAATAAATATGTTTTGTTTAAATGCACCAAAATACATTGCCTATATTCACTGAGAAATGGAGAAAAATATTTCATTTTCAATATGGGCTGCGCTGTACTCAATTATGCTGAGCACTGCATATATATGATTTTTTTTCTCTTTTTAATATTTCCCAAATTATGTTTAGTAGAGCAAGGACTTGTACAGTATGTCTGATAATATTTTTTCTTCTGGAGAAAGTCTTATTTGTTTTGTTTTTTCAGCAAGAATAAAAGCAGTTAATACTCATTTAAACCCAATTTAGGGTCAATATTATTAGCCCCTTTAAGCTACATATTTCTTTTTCATTGTCTACAGAACAAACCATTGATATAAAATAACTTGCCTAATTATCCTAACCTGCCTAGTTAACCTAATTAAGCCTTTAAATGTCACTTTAAGCTGTATAGAAGTGTCTTGAAAAATATCGAGTAAATATTGTTTACTGTTATCATAGCAAAAATAAAAGAAATCAGTTATTAGAAATGAGTTATTAAAACTATTATGTTTAGAAATGCGTTGAAAAAAACCTTCTCTCCATTAAACAGAAAGTGAGGTAAAAAACAAACAGGGGAGTTAATAGATCAGTGGTGCTGATAATTCTG